CTGATCAGTTTCAGCAGCGGCTGAATCTGGACGCCAGTTCCGACTTACATACAGATTCAAATTAAGAACAAACCTAGGGACTGCCTGTACATTGTATGGAGACGGGAACAAAATTAATTATGAATAGATAGCAGTAGTCCTTAGACTATCTTTGCTGCAGCGTCAAGCCTCATGTCTGTGGAAGGGAGGAGTCAGACATCAGTGGGTATTTCTGCTATAAAGATAAAGTTAATACGTGAATGAGTACTATTTATGGGCATAGCTATAGTTTGTCACAACTTTCTGGTTATAGAGCAGATAATATTAAACCCATCGTAGCTCACAGTTACTGTCACACAACAGAGGGCTATATAGAAGTATATAGAGTGTTTTTATATTTCTCCTTCCTGTGCTGAAGTAAAAAGTTAACTAGTGGTGTCCTCCAAGGGTCCGTAATTGGACCAGTCTTGTTTAACCTATTTATAAATGATCTTGAGAAAGAGGTAAACAGTGAGGTGGCAAAATGTGCAGATGATACAAAACTGCTCAAAATAGTTAAGAACAAATCAGACTATGAAGAGCTTCAAAATAATTTCACAAAAGTAGGTGATTGGGCAAGAAAATGCCAAATGAATTTTCATGGTGATATGTGAAGTAATGCACATGGGGGGGGGGAATCCCAACTATATATACAAAATGATGTGGACTAATTTAGCTATAACTACTGGAGAGATATCTTGGTCATTGTGGATAGTTCTCTGAAAACATTAACTCAATATTCATCGGCAGTCAAAAAAGCAAACAATGTTAGGAATAATTAAAAAGGATAGACAAGACAGACTTATTGCTGCTATATAAATCCATGGTATGCCCACATCTTGAATTCTGTGTACAGATGTAGTCACCTCATCTCAAAAAAGATACCTTGGCACTGGAAAAGGTTCAGAAAACAGCAACAAAAATCATTAGGGGTTTGGAATGGGTGCTATATGAAGAGAGATTAAAAAGGCTGGGATCTTTCATCTTACAAAAGAGGAGACTAAGCGAGGATATGATAGAGGTTTATAAAATCATGACCGGCATGGAGAAAGTGAATAAGGAAAAGTTATTTACTTGTTCCCATAGCATAAGAACTAGGGGTCATCAAATGAAAATAATAGGTAGCAGGTTTAGAACAAACAAAAGGAAATTTTTCTTCACACAGCACACAAAACACAACCTGTGCAACTCCTTGCCAGGGATGTTGTGAAGACCAGGACATTAACAGGGTTCAAAAAAACTACTAGATAAACACATGGAGGTTAAGTCCATCAATACTTATTAGCCAGAAAAGGTAGGAATGATGTCACTTGCCTCTTTCTGTCAAGGGCTGGAAATGGATGACAGGAGAGGGATTGCTTGATGATTGCCTGTTCTATTCACTTCCCTTGGGGCATCTGGCATTGGCCATTGTTGGAGGACAGGATATTGGACTAGATGGACCTTTAGTCTGATGCAGTATGGCTGTGTTAATGTTCTTAAGGTAGTTTTTGGCCCTAGATGATTGGAGAGTTGCCTGTGCCGAGATTTAAGGCTGAGCATTGAAAATGTAGATCACTATCATGCATCACATTAGACCAAATGGATAACTGCAATATTTATGTAAACTGCATGTAATTAAATTGCTAAAATCTACAAGCTACATAAATGTACCAACATAGGGGAAAAAACTTGTTTCTGAGGTGGCTGTTAAAATTTGCAATACATGAACAGGGCTTGACAATTAGTGTAATCTACTTGCCACGAGCGAGTAGATTACAAGCCGGCACAGCCGCGCAGCGCAGTCAGTCCTGTACTTGAAAATACCTAACTCTTATAATACTCACCTTTGAAAGAACTTATTTGATTTGCCTCAAACTATTTTAAAAGCAACTGTGGCATCACATCAGATATATTTTAAGAAGTCAGACATATCAGTTTTGTTTTAGTGAAGCTACTTGGGATGTCAAACACTTTTTAATGAAAAATTAGCATAGCTTTAAGAATGGAAAGACTAACACACATCACTTCTCCATAGCTTAAAGTCATTAGCTCTGAAACTCCATAACAGTAATTTACACTACAACTGCTACAAACTTTTATCATCCTAGTTTGTGTGGATATTTGTATGAATTCACCTATCCTGTTTTGAGTGTATTTTTTTCCCCCACAAAATATTATTTCCTCCTTAGTTTTGAAGAGCTATTTGGACAACAGTATGACTATTCAACAGGGAATGAAGATTACTATGAGAGATATCAGTATTCCCAAAAAGGTAAGAATCTGTAATTAGTTAATGTTCCTTTGTTAGACTATAACATCAGCAGCCTTTGCATGGGGGAAAAAAGGAGCTCAGTGGCTGACCCAACCTCATCTATGACCAGTCAGCTAGGGATCATGTTACTGTTAAATCCAGCAGATGTCTCCGTGGCAGGCCCAGAGCAAGGAAGCTCTTGTAGGAAATGCCTGGGTTATATGGGGAGCTATAGGAAGGTGGTGGTTGACTTACGCAGGCCCTGAGGCAAAATACTTTGGCAAAGGGCAAGGAAAAATGAATCTTGTAAGGAATCACTAGGCTTCTCCAAAAGATTTTGCATTGAGAGGCAGAGACATGTCAAGTATAATTGGTTTATGTGGGAAAGATAAAGCTGAAATCTGAGAGAGGGTCCAAATCCCACTCTAGGTATTAAGGATGTTAAGGACTAGTTGATTATCTGATAAGCAAATGCTTATCAGATAGTCGAGTTGACTAGTTGATTTTTCTCCCCCCTTGCTGCCTGTATTAGATAGAGGCAGCAAAGCGGGGGAAGAGAGGTTACTTCAAAGCAGCAGCATGGCATGGAGCTGACCCCAGGTTCCATGCAGTGCTGCCCCTTTGAAACGCTGGGGTGATGTTTCAAAGGGGCAGTACTGCACATAGTTTGGGATCAGCTGTGCGGCACTGCCCCTTTGAAATGCTGCTTTGGCATTTCAAAGCATCAGTGCCGCATAGAGCCCTTGATCATCTAGGGACTCCCTACAGCATTTCCGCAGAACCTGGAGTCAGCTGGGGTGTCCTCAGCTGATCTCAGGCTCCAGCATGGCATTTCAAAGTGCGCAGAGCTCGGGGTGATCTGGGGAATCCCCAGCTGACCCCGGGTTCTGGAGAAATGCTGCGCAGAGCCTGGGATCAGCTGGAGATGCCCCAGCTGACCCTGGGCTCCACATGGCATTTTAAAGCAGCAGCACAGCATGGAGTCCTGGGTCAGCAGGGGTCTCTGAGTCTGCTGCTGACCCCAGGCTCCATGAGGGTGCTTCCGCTTTGAAATGGACATTTCAAAGCTGGCACGCTGTGTGTAGCCTTGGACCAGTGAGAAGTCCCGCTGACTCAAGACTCCATGAGGGCGCTTCTGCTTTGAAATGCACTTCCCACTGGCCCCGGGCTGCATGCGGAGTTCCGCATTCCTCCTTCCTCCCAGCGGGGCTCTTGTACGTTTTTCAAAGAGGAACGCAGAAGTGCCTATCAACGATTAGTCGATGGAATTTCCATCAACTATTCAGCTAAATTACTTGTTATTTAACATCCTTACTAGGTATGTCAGTCCTTCCTAGTTGGGGAGACGGGTCTTTAGGGTCTCCCACCCCCTTAGGAATTTAGCTTCCTCTTGGGTTTGGAAGAGATGATTGGTTTTATCTGGGATGTTGTCTGGTCTGAGCAGCGTGGTGGAAGCCCATGAACTCATATGCATCCAAGCCCTTTCCATCCGGCTGAGAGATCCTTATATTCTCAAAAAAGTAGCTTACACGCTGGCAGGGAAGTAGCTTAGCAGAATGGGAGCATGGGGTGCCTTCTGGTGTGAGGGAATCCCAAGATACATCAAGTTGATGGCGGTGGTCCCAGCAGGTCCCAGTCTGCATGAGACCCCAGGGATCCCCAGAAGACAAGAGTCAGCAGTGGCAGCCCAGCAGCCAGGTTCTTCCAGGCGACAGGATCTGGAGCATGAATCTTCAGCAATGGAAGCTGGCCCAACCACCCCTTGCTCCCGGGACAAGTGGAGAACAGCAAGTGCTACAAGTGTGGCTCCCCCGGCTGGGGTATCTCCTTTGCCGGTAGTGGGTGAGTTTTGACTCTTGGGAGTGCCAAGGGCATATACTTTTGAAGCTGCACCTCTGGACTGGCGGTGGTGGTGCTGGGGGAACAGGAAGTTACAATGTGAAGGGCTGTGCCTCTTCCAGGGACAGAATCACAGAATTAGTTGGGGCAGCAGATCTTCCCACCGGGACAATGGAGGGGGTGTCTGAGGTGGAGAGTGTCACTGGCGCTCGTCTTTGAGAGACTGGGTGTGCTTCCACAGAGGGTTCTATCCCATTTTGGGGGGAAGGGTGTCCCCAGGCAGTCTGGGGTACTGGCTGCAGGAGAAATTCTTCCAATCAGGTGGCCAAACTTAACACTGTTGTGTATTCTTGGGACCTCAAGTTTAAGTAAGTTTATTCTTTTTATCCCCTAACTTCCTTTAGGAAAATCTAACATGGGAACCATTGCTCACCCAATGGTCTTCAGTTTGGGGTAATGGCAGCAGCCAGATTGATTCTAGTCTCATCAGCAGAGAAAGAGCTAACAGTCAAGGAGGGATAGGAATGCAGGTGCTGTATCTTACTTAGGCTTGGAACATAGGGATAGGTGTCAAGGCTATCGAAATGGGTACATGACAGGGTGGGGAGGAGCAGGTAATGTGATGGGTTCCAGTGCAGTTGTCAGTTTTTTGTTTTTCAGGTGAAAATAAGACATGCTTACACAGGAGTGTCATCTTTAATCAAGGGTCACAAATACACTTTCTGTATTTTTAACTGTCTTTCGAGAAATATTCTCAGTGTGCAGGGTAGCAATGAGGGAAGGCAGAATGCAGAAGAGTCTGCTAAGAATGTGAGAGATCAAATGGTGACTTGAATCTGGGAAAACAGGCATCCTGCCTTTGTGATATATGCAGATGTGAAGTATGGTACATAGTGGAAGAGGCTAAGCGTTATACAAATGCACACAGTATGTTTGAGTATATAACATGGGCCCATTAAGACAAGGAATTTAAGTTGCAGGTATGTCCACAAATTAGGTATGACAGGATTCATAATGACCGATGTTTAGAGCAAATGACGTTGGCTTAATCAGTGCCATTTGTACATACCAACAGCAGTTTGTTTCTACAGCAGGCTAACCAGATATCTGATTCTTGCAGTTAAGTATACTGGGACTTCCCTGGATGTTTCTGGAACTGATGCAAATAAAAAATCATTTGAGAGAAGTGTTTTGGTATTCGTGGGGCACTCATTTGCCACAGCATTTGTGGAAAGTTCCAGACCAGTAGAAGGAGAGATCAGTCAGATGCTCCCTCTGTCCCTAAACACAGGACCAAGTACAGGCAGTCCCCGGGCTACGTACAAGATAGGGACTATAGGTTTGTTCTTAAGTTGAATTTGTATGTAAGTTGGAACTGGCTCCAGATTCAGCCGCTGCTGCTGAAACTGACCAGGGGCTGAATACAGGAAGCTGGAGGCAGAATTGCTCTGCCCCCAGCTTCCTGGAATCAGCCACTGATCAGTTTCAGCAGCAGCGGCTGCAACTC